GGGCGGGGGAACATGCCCCCCCTGACTAAGGTAGCACCAGTTGCCCATGGCTCTTGGAATCTCTACTAGGAGAGTGGAGATTTCCCTGTAGCCAGCTGGTACCCAGATATCTGTAAGCAGGCGGCACCTCATCCCAGGGGAACTGTGAGGCCAGCAGGCTTAGTTACTGTACACCCTACTCTCTCTCCCTTCCTTCACCCGTGGATAAGAGTTGGGAGAATACAGCACGGCTTTATATTTAAACCAGCAAGCACCAAGCCACATAAAATAGACTTTAACCTCATTGGGACATTCAAGGAAGTAAAAGAAAGCAACACACAGTGATAACTGAGGCCACATTGGTGACATGAGGAAAAAGGATGCAGGACAGGTACACAACTCATTTTATCCTTTAATTAAAAAGTAACAAGAGATGGTATAGTTGGTGCAGATGGTATAGTTTGAGTAAAGCTTAGCTACTATTTTTTTTCTTATTTAGGGAACTAATGGTATTTAAGTCAAAGTAAAAAATTGCTATTTCCAGTTCCACTTAAAGGGACATCAAGAATCTGTTCAGGTCTCAAAAGTTATGACACAGTATTTTTAAATTTAAGTTTAAACAAAATCTGAGTTGATGCATATTAAATATTATACAACTAACCCTGGATCGCTCCTTTCTTTTTGTTTTAGGCTATTGAGTTGGCATTATATAAAAAAAAAAAGAAGAAGATTTTATCATTTGCTGGTGCAGGCAAATCCAGACAAATGGTCCACAAATAAGTCTTATAGAGAAAGATTATAGGGAAGGAATCATATTCTCCCCAAGATAAGAGACCACTGATAGAATTAAAATCACAAATTCAACACTTGTGTCTGGATATATACAGGTTTTGTTGAGTTGAGACTCAATCTTTTAATCTAAAACGTAAAACAATGCCAAGGGGAAGGGAAGGGATCAATGATGAGTCAGGAGGCCTATGGTAGGATCTGATATTTAACAATGCATTTACAATGGAATACATCCCCACCAACCATACTTCCAACAGCAAAGCCTTGGAAAGGCACTAAGGACTGAAGCAAAACCCAAGAAGAACTAGTACAGAACCTTATTTTAAAAGGTTTGGAAGAGACTCCAGGAAGTCAAGAAGGGAAGGTGGCAAACTCCAATGGCCCATGTTTTGAATTTAGGCAGGCAGGAAGGGACTAGGAACAAATTACCTTGGAAAGAAGAGTATTTGGCACTAGGAGTAGATCCTCATGTAGTTTAGACCATTTTTGCTATCTGCAAGGACTGGAAAAGCATAAAGTGGCCTTACAGAACCCATAGGCGGTAGAAGACTGGGGCTAACGAAGCTTAGACACCCCAAATGCGGGGCAGCAGGTAGGGCTGCAGGGTAGCCCGGCTGCAGGCTCCGAGCTGCTGTGGCAGGGAGGGAGAGGCGCACACACTCAGACACAGCCAGCCAAAATCTCAGCCCTAGTGTATGGATTACTGTCCAGCATGGTGGTCAGGAAAATTTCAGTGTACTCTGAAGGGGAAGGGGCTTGGGGAGGGGCAGATCAAGGCCCCCACAGTGTGAGAGAGAGTGGGGCAGGCGCTGGAGTGAATGGGGCCCTGGGGCAGGTCATGGGACTATTGGAGTCCTGGGCATCTTGTCCAGGGGCACATGGGGGCTCTTGCCCCACGGTGGCAGCCACATGGCAGTGTGCGGCTCTCTGGGCAGAGGCAGTGGGGGACACAGCCCAACCTGCAGCCGCAGCCTGCCCTTGCCCCATGCACAGATCGGAGGTGCACGTGCCCCCCGGGCCTCTGCCGGAGTGCATGCAGCAGCAGGAGCCTCCTCATGTCCCCGGACAAGTCACCCAGGCTGAGCATCACATGACCCACCCCGGTGCCCCATTCACCCCAGTCCCTGCCCTTGCTTTTGCCCCACTCCCTCCTGCACTGTGGGGGCCTTGATCTGCCTCCCCACACCTTTTCCCCATGACAGACTAACCTGCTGGGAGGGGTGTGGGCATGCACACAAGCACACACACACTCAGCCCCCCCCAAATATAATATTTTCTCCCTCTGCCTATGAGAGAACCTGTGCCTGGCTGAAGAAGGATTTCCCTAGTAAAAGGAGTGAAGAAACCCCCCTCTCTCTGCCACTCACTTGGGACAAACCAGGTGACCCCTGTTTCTCCTCGGTTTCTTCTTGGTACTGGCTGGTCAATCAGCCTGGCCAAAAAATCTCCTAGGGGGAGGAGAGGGCTTTCCTCTTCCTCCAGCAGGCATTTTGAAAAGCCACAAGCAATGTGCCCCCAGGTGCAGCCTGGATGATTCTCTGTAAGTAAAGACCTGGAAACTAGCCAGAAGTCTAGAAATAAATATAGGCAGTTGCGCCTTAAAAGGATCATTGCATCTAATATCTGCAAATTATCAATTTACTTTTGTTTGCTCTGACTTCCTTGTTCAACACCCCCACCCCCCTGCCCATCAATAAAGGTATTGGGTTACAGTGGATTACTGGGGATAGGCAGGCCTTTTGCTCCCTTTGCTTGGCCAGCTAAGTTGGGCTTGGCTTATTTTTCTCCAGTACCTGAGGCTATCTTTGGATGCTTTGGGCTGACAGAAGCACCCCAAAATATTACTGTGGGCAAAGCACCTCCAAGGTTTGCTTAGTCTGTGTGCCCTGGGCTGCACAGAGCCCCCTACCAGAGACCAATGCCTAGGTGGTGGCTGCGTTACCCCAGGTTGTGGGTGTTCTCCGGAAAGGGGGATGGCTGGCTGTAGGCTCCCCAGGGGAGACTCCTAAAGCGTGGTTTTGGGCCTGGCACAGTGAGGAGGGTGGCTCTACATAGTAGTGCCCTCTATTGTGCCATCACAAAAGGAAACCACCACAGAAGGGTGTCCTTTGAGGACCCTTTGTTGAATGTATTGCATACCAGAGCCACGGCATTCTAAGCTGGGGAGATTTCAGGCAATGGTGTGACCCCCTAAGGATAGCCCAGTGGAAGCTTCCAAAACTTGGAGATATCCTTATGGCTATTTAATGGTTACATCAAGGTTCTCCTACCTCTCTCTTCTGCAATACAAATCAAACCAAATTTATCTAGTTTTAGGTTACACCAGAGTAATAACAGAGAAACACATGCAACTATTTTCTGCTTCATAACCCTTACATCGAAAGTTTCTGTTTCCTTTGAACAAGCATGATTTTTTCAAGTTAACACCTTTGTATACAAACTTGTGATAGCTAGTCAAATGGTAGGTCATCTATGTTAAGCATATCCTTTCAATCTCTTATAGAGCATTCTATAGATCTCAACAAAGCTCTCTGTTTTTGTGTTGAATGTTGTCTTGGTTATTACTTTAATGTGATATAGCTAAGTCAAAGTGAAACTCAAGAGGTTAAAACCTGTGTAAAACAAAATGATGATACTGTTAACCACTGCAAAATAAGAATTGTTCAAAACTAGTCAGATTCATCAGCAGCAATAATTGTTAGTCTACAGATCTCAAATGTCCTGTTTTTTTACTCGGTGGCCACCATTCCATCTGTAAGTAACAGAAAAGACATAAGCCCAAAACAAAGCTAAACTTATGTAGTCTAAGTTATGAGCATGTGGCCCTCAAAGTCTTGCAATGTGATAAACAAGTAAGTCATTTGCAACATGCTTTATGCAAAGTATTTCCAAATAATGAAAATTCAGTGTCTAGAGCTTTGAAATATGGAATTCAGATGAGTAAATCCAACTTCAGCAACATTCCAATAGTCTTACAAATAAGCAAGTTCTTACCAGTTGAATAAGCAGGCTAATTAGGTCTGTCAGGGGTTTATTGATAAGCAGAAGGTCTTCAGCAACCTGAGTATCTCCTCCTGTGCCAGATTTCTGAGCCTTAGTAAGACAGGGAAGAATAAAAAGAAGTCTTGGTGAGCACTTAGTTCTGAGAAACAAATAAGGTCCATTAGGTGGTAAAAATCTGAATGGAAATTTGTAGGGGATTTAAACTGCCTTTCCTGGTTTAGTATTCAGAAAGCCCCTACAAGCAGTTAAAATCTAACTGTGTTGGTAACAATCAGTTAAAAGCTAAAGGAACTCATGCTGTCACATCCATTCTAAACAGATTTAATATGCTGACCTACATGACATTTCTTCAGCAAGAGATATTGACTATGAAATACATATCTATGAAACTATAATATATGGCTGTCCATCCAGTGTTTTATACACACACACACACACA